ATATTTTAAAAAATCTTTGTGTATGATATGATCGTTTGTATGTGTCTGTGTGTTATGCTTGAACACACTTGTACCACATCACACATGTGGAAGTCAGAGGACAACCTCAGGCTGCCTTTTCCTACCTTATTTGAGGCTCTGCGAGGTTCAGCAAGAGCCTCACAGTCATCTCTTATCTTTCTTTGATCTCACTGAGTGAGTACTGCTATCAGCTCCAGCCTCATGTGGGTAATGAGCTGAGGTCCTAATGTAAACATGACAAGTTCTTTACATTCCGACTCATCTTCAGCCCATAAGATTTGTGTGTGTGTGTGGGGGGGGAGAGCAGTTAGCAGCCTGCTATTCACACAGTAGGTATTTAGTAATAATTATTTCTCAGTCTGTTTCCTTACCCCTGTTCCTATGAATATACCATTCTCTCTTAGACGTGAGAAGGTCTGGATATTTTAGTTGACCATCTCTTTTCTATAGTTGTCACTATACATCTTCAAGCCCTTTTCTTCAGGAAATGATTTCTTCATGTCCCAGAACATATATTTTCCCATTAGGCTAAGTCAGCTAAGATTTTTTTGTGTATATCATGAATATCTTTGTGTATTTACTATATGCACTTTAAAATCATTTAAAATGTTAATTTTCATTTATTGAAGTAGATTTAATTTTAACTTTCTTTCTTTCTTTTTAGATTTAATCTTTGATCTTTGTGATCTTTGACCAATGATTTAGGATAACTAAACCTGACTTTCCTTGGCTATAATCCATTAATAATAAAAGGTACCATATAGGTAACTATAATTCCTTACATATGTAGCCTGGGCTGTCCTGGAACTCACACTGTAGTGCAGGCTGAGTTCAAGCTCACAGAGATCTACTTGCCTCTGCCTCCTAAGTGCTGGGATGAAGAACCACTATGACCACTGACTTAAAACTTTTTAAGAAGCAAAAATCAAGCCACAAAGAGTTATGCTAATAAACGGCAAGAGTCAAGGAGGGAAACAGAAGCAAACTATTTATGCATTCAATTTAAAAATAAGTCAGAGGTTATATTATTATTTTTATAGACAAATATATATTGTGCAAGTCCTTTGCTGAAAATCCCCATTGCTTCCTTTCTTAATCATGGTAAAATCATATATCCCTATTATCTTTAAGCACTCCAAAGGCTCTGGCTCAGTTTGCCATTCTGAACTGCAGGCACTGTTTTTGGAATACTGTTACTTGTCCCACTTTGGTTTTCTGTTGCTGTGATAAAATACTGATGAAAACAGCTTAGGGGAAGAAAGGGTTTATTTGGTTTGCAGCTTAGAGTCCATTTTCCAGAGAAGCCAAGGCAGGAAAACAAGGCAGTAACCTGAAGGCAGGAACTGAAGCAGAGACCTTGGACAGCACTTCCTTACAGGCTTGCTTCCCTGCCTTGCTCAGCTACCTATTTTAGACATCCAGGCTTACCTACCTAGGGATGTCACTGCCCATAGTGGGCTGGGCCTTTCTGTATCAATTAGTAAATGAGAAAATGCCCCACAGACATGTGTATAGGCAAATCAGCTCTTCAACTGCTATTCTCCCTCCTCAGTGGTGTCAATTTGACAGTAAAACTATCCAGACTGTCTTGTAATGTATTCTTGAATGTTTCTAACCACAGAGCATCAGCTGTTGGCGCTCTTGCCTAAAAAGTCTACCCAGTGTCCCCAATCATTCTTTTTGATGGTTTTCAAATATTCCAAACATCTCTCCAGTCTCTCATGTATAAAACGGCATATCCCACACCAGGTGTTCACTTTGCCTTGTTCTAGGCTGTTACATTCAGGGCGACACTGTGCATGTTTTTGTTCTGTTCCCTCATGACTTTCTGTGGCCTGTTGTGCTTTCTGCATTTAGCACTGCACAGAACATATGATCAGAAAGTGTTTTAGTCAGTGACTATTTTAGTAGTGAGAAGTTTATTGGTATTAAGTCCTGATGAGAATGAAAAATTAAGTTCATTAAAAACTCAAAATAAATATGTCACACGTAGGAAGTTATAAAAAATAGGAAATTTAAATTAGCTTAAAACAGTGAAACATATTAAATGCCCATTTGATAATCACAGTAATGAATAGGAAGCTATTAACTCAATGAGTCATGAACTTCTTTAGTTTTGATTTAAGGCACTCCAAATTTTCCTTAGGAATGAGAAATATAAGAATTATATGATTAATTCCTGTAAAATAAAAAAAGTTCCCCTCCCCCTTTTAAAACATAGGGCCTCGCTCAGTAGTTCAGGCTGAGTTTGAACATATTATTTAGCCCAAGTGCTAGGGTCACAAGACTGAGCTAAAATGCCTGGCAGGATCAATATTAATATTACAAATATAATTTTAAAGAAGAATTTAACATGTGAAAATGACAGACCTTGTTACTTAAGTGACACATTTTCTCCCTGAAATCATCTGTCTACTTCAGCATTATCCGAGTGTCAGTGCTGAGGTAGAGACACTTTAGTCACTGCCTTGTTGTGGACATTTCAGAACAGCATTACAATAAGGCTATTCCTTCTCGCAAATGGGCTTGCAGGAGCAGACACTTGCACTGGCAGAGCGGGGTGCTTCACCTCCACACACCTTAGTGGAGAGAGAGTTTTGTCCACTGCAAGTGAACAGTACCATGTGACCTTGTACAAAGTACCCAAACTAACTGATTCTCATTTTCCTTTCCTTGTAGGATTAGGGAATAAATAGATAACATAGAAGAGTGTTGAAGAATTGCAGATAAAACATCACACAGCTTTTTTCCCCACACTCTCCTTTTAAAATGCAAAATGGAGCCCCAACGGAATTTCTGTCAGATATGCAGATTTCCTGGCTCTGAGATACACAGAACCAGAATGGACACATTTAACAAATTTCCCAAATGACTCTAGAGCACATTAAAGTTCATGAAGAACTAATGTACTCAGTGATCTTTGGGCAATGACAACAATATCTCAAGGAATTTCCCTCTTTAATTTTCAATATATTAATTACTTAATATATTTTATTCATTATCTTTAATTTATATTATATATGTATTTGATGAGGTCAGAGAATACCTTGCAGGAATCTATTTTCTTTTTCCACTATATTTATTTTCATATGATTAAAATGATACAATTTAAAATATAAATCTTTGAATATATTTAAATGTAAATATAATATAAATATATTATAAATATCTTAAATATAGAAATGTTTATATGATCACTTTTGACAGGATCTATAGCTGAGTGTGATTTCTGATATTTCTTCTAACAGTCTGCATAGCATATCTTGGCACTATGAATACTAGCTAGAGAAAAGAAACAGACAGCTCAGTTTTGACTTAGTGCACCACAATTCCTTTCTAAGTGATTCTGTTCCACACTAGGCTGTCAGCAGCATGAAGAATGGAACTTGTTTCAATTATATATCGATGTCATAAACAAATACAAGCCTGTCATATAACCTCAAATGAATGTGAAATAATTTCTGAATATTAAGTATTAGAATTTCACTGCTCTATGCTTATTTAAAGATGATTAATTATAAGTTTCAGTAATGTAATTATTCAGAAAATAATTATTGTGGCTGTTAAATTTCAGGAAAGTAGAAAGACTAGAGACCGAAATAACGGTTTTTTAAAAGGCAAGAAAGCAACGCTGTCCTACTTTTGGCGCAAAGAAGATTCATACTATCTCACAAACATTACCATACTGAATTATCACTAAATACTGAATTATCAGCTAAAATTCCTTTTTTGGACACTGACTGTTCATCGCTAGAGGTACATAATGCAATACCAAATCCGTGGGTGAGACGTATAACAGGATGAGCATTGCTCAGCAGGACTTTCTCACATTGGCATGTCTACCACTGGTCCGCTACATCACTGTATGTTATCACACTGCAGGCCTTTTTGCGTTTTCTTCTAAGTTAGAGACTGCTGGGCCATTGCTGGTTTAAATGACTCTTTTTCATGGACAGGTTTAAGTTTAGGGGCATGGAGAATGTCGTTTTAGCACTTGCCTCTTTACTGGTACTAATTATCTTGTCACAATGGTTTAGAAACTTCATTTTAAGAAAGATGAATCACAGAACAATTGAATTCCATGTTTTTGAGAGAAGGGAAGCTAAAATTCCTCTTTTGGACACTGACATTCTGTGCACATGGGGCTAACTGGTTAGCCTGAGTAACACCAATTAGGCCAGTAAACCTTTAATTTGGAAAATAAGTTTCACGAAACCAAACTGCTCAGTGATTATTTTAAACTACCGGGGATGGAGCTGGTGGGGGAAACTCCCAAATGTAGTCCAGAGGAGCTATAAATTCTCTATGTAGCCCAGGCTAGACTGGACTCACAGGGATACCCCTGCCTCAGTTTCTCCAGCTAGGTATTACTTCACCGCGGCTTCACTTTATAATCTTTTATCTATGCTGGGTTTCTAGCAATATCAACTTATTGCTGACTTCTCTGTGTATATATAGTCCATTTGGGCAGTACATTTTTTTTTTTTTTTAACTTCTGCTCATGTTTGAGTCCCCATCAGGGAGAAGAAGGGGCTATTTCCTGAATTAAGTAAATTGTTAGCAGCAAACTTCTTCTGCGACCCCTCTCTTCACTACTCACCGGTTCCTAAAGTAGTACTGCGATTCTAGAAACGAGGCCCGCGCCTGCAGCTTGGCTAAAGTAGCCATGACCTGCAGGCCTGGGATTTAACGAAGTGGTGACTATTAGTCACCATGGCAACTGGGCTGAACCAAAGGCACTTCCGACTCATTCCCCTTTCCTTCCGCTCTGCTTCAGCTTCAAGGAACTGGACAGAGAATTCGTATTTTTTCATACGAGAACCGACGGCCGACTCGTTCCTTTCTCCTCCTGAATTGCTCGAGGCGCTGACATGAAAGCGCCGCCCAGCGAAGGGGAGCGAATGGTCTCCTCCGGCTTCCGGCTTCCGCCTCCAGCCAGCTTCCGGAAGTTCCTCTCAAAATGCTGAAGTGCTGTGTGGAAGTGGCCGGTGCTGCGGGAGTTGGAGTCGGTCCTCGGGCCTGAGCCTCGAGGCCGCGCTCCCGGGTGTCGTTGATGTTCGGGGCCGCCGGACGTCCAGCGATCGGAGCCGCCGCAGCCGCCGCAGCCGCCGGGAAGAGCTGGTGAGACCGGCGGGCCGCTGAGGACGGGGCGGGCGCGCCGGCGGGCAGCCCCGAGGGGCTCCCGGATCGGGGACAGCCAGGCACCGAGCGCCTTCGGGGCTCGTTCAGGTCGCTGCTGCTAACCTGGTCACCCTGTGGCAGAGTCCATGGCTGATGGGATTACAGAAAGCCACAGTTCTGGAAGTTTCTTAGTGGAAGAGACACCAGGCTCTCACGCTCCCCGCGCACCTAGGTTTGTGTAAAACGTACAAGTTTCCCACCACCTCGGAGGCTCCGTCGTGGTTCACGTGAGACGGACGTTGTCCAACAGCCCTAAGTTTGGGGTTGGAATTCGTCTTTAATGTATCATGACCTACTGCTGCAAGTTTTCAGGCTGCTTTCGCAAATCACGCTCTATCCTTATGACACCCCAGTCTATGAGACTGTCGCAGACACGGAGAATTTAAGAGGCCACACAGATAGTATAGTTAGTTAGGTTTTGGATTTCATGGTTGAAAAGCCTCCTCGCCGCATGCCCATCCCCGTTTCTTCCAAGGCTTTCTCCTTTACATAAACCTAGTGAGATAAGAAAGTAGATATCCTGCCGACAATCTGGAAACCTAAAAGTTTGACCAGTGAGTCGAGAAGTGTGATTTTAAAATCCATGCCAGTGGGCTGGGGTGTCTAATTTTTTTTTTTTTTTTTAGAAAAGTTACAAGAACATCTTATGCCAGATGCCGTATTTGGATCTTCTCTATAGATCCGTTTTTAATGAGTGTCAATTTTCCTGTGACTTTTTAAGTTCTCATAGTTTTCAGTTAGAAAGACAGGGAATGCTTTTTAAATGAGCCGTTTTTAATTGGTGTAATCAGCTTGGAAACAGGCACAGCTCTTAATGTACTAGTTGTTAGTTTTGGCAGTTGTACAGGAGGGAGGAAGCACCACACAAAACAAGATAAAGGAAATTCCCAAACATCCCGGTGATTACTCCAAAGTGTATTCTCTCAATGGTTCACTACTCTGTGTCTTGGTGAGGAACAGAGGTGAAATGTGTTCAGTAGATTGGTCTGGTCTTAGTAGAGAGGAAGCAATTTGTATGCTCGTTGACAAATTAAAAGCAAACAAACTGTGACCCTGTTTACTCATTGTACTCTCACTGAGTCAGCCTTTGATTTGTACATCCTACATGTTCTTCATCTGGTTGTGTGTCAAGCAGTATAGTAGGTACTTATTGAAATTCTTAGCTGTTTTCTTATTCTTAATCTAGGAATTCAGTATATACATTCAGTAAATATTTAATGTGCAGTAATCGTGTATGAGCAATAATCAAGACATTTCTTACCCTACAAAGCTTGTTGGCAGAATGAATTACTTTTTAAATCAAATTTTTTGTCTTGTTTGACTTAGGATTCTGACTACATTTCATTATGCATTTAAAAAATGAATAATTTACATTTTGAAAGCAATTAGAGGCAGTGAGATAAGTTTGGATGACTCTTGAAGTCAGTCATTAAATGAAGTAGCAAATCAAAAATGGTCTCCAAGAGTGATAAAACTTTACTTTTTTTTTTTTTTAACTTAAAGATCAGCTGATTAAGTTCTTAAATTTTTTCTAGGGGAAAAGAGGAAAGAAAGTAGTTTCCTCAGATGTCTGTGGTGACAAGATAACAGAGCTGTAAGTTCCAACAGACCCTTCAACTGAATGCTCAGTGTAGCCGTAGCATGCTTAGGGGGAGTGGGTTCTCCTATTCCTTAGAAACATTGTGATCCTTTGTTTGTGTTTTTGTTTTTGTTTTTTCAAGACAGAGTTTCTCTGTTTTAGCCTTGGCTGTCCTGGATCTCAGTCTGTAGACCAGGCTGGCCTTAAACTCGTGGAGATCAACCGGCCTCCACTCCAGAGTGCTGGGATTAAAGGCATGAACCGCACCTTATGATTCTTAACTGGGGAAGAAAGATTTTTTTCTTTACCCCTCTTCTTAATTCTATCTGTATATTAAAGCAGGAATCAGATGCATTGAAGATAGGGCCTCAACTATATAGCCCAGGGTAACCTCACTGTTTGAAAGAATTCTGCCTCTGCCTCCTTAAATTCTGAGATTACAGTTAAGATCCACTGCACCAAGCCATAAGAGATCGTATTTTTTTTCTGATTTAAATATCTAGTTTTTCATGTTCCTGCTAAGTTGGTTCCTGCTAAGGTTACAGGATCCTCTGCCCAACCTTATACCCACCTTCCCCCGAGCTCCAGACTGAGGTGGTTGTGAGTTGTGTTACCTGAGTGCTGGACACCAAACTTGGGTCCTCTGGAAGAGTAGTTAAGGACTCTTAACTGCTACAGAGCCATGCCTCTTTCCCAAGATGTAGCCTTTTAATAAATGGCTAGTACAAGTCCCATTTCTTTGTTGTGGTAGTTTGGGGAGCCCAGAGCTTTGAGCATGCTAGGCAAGTATTTCACCTCTAAGCTACAACCCTACTGTTCTAGCTTGAGATAAAGACTCATTTTGATAAATAACAGTATGATTAAGAAAGGAAGTTTTTAAGTTCCAGTGAGCATCAGAAATTTCAATATTTAAGATAAATCTTATGGATTTTGTTTGATTAGTCTTAAAATGTAGCCCTTACCCTTGTGTGACATCTTTTACTCTTTATATGTTTATTTACCATTGTCATAATCTGTATTATTATGTTTTCACTTTCATTTGAACTTTTTGGCTATGTGCTATATGTGTACTTAAAGGCCAAGTAGCCTTTTCTAAACAGCTGTTTTTTAAAAATCTTAAATAAAATGCAATCATTAACATGATATGGAAGTATATAATTTTGTCACAGTTTTCTTATTTGTGAATAGTCATAATATACTGTACATTCATAATCACAGTTCTTGCCTATGTTTATACTGGATTTATATTTATGTAGACCAGTGTTTCTCGACCTGTGGGTGGCAACCCTTTTGGGTGACAAATGCCCCTTTCACAGGGAGTGCATATCAGATATTTACATTATAATTCATAACTGTAGCAAAATTACAGTGATGAAGTAGCAACAAAAATATTACGGTTGGGGTCACCACAGCATGAGGAACTGTATCGAAGTTCTGCAGCATTAGGAAGGTTGAAAACCACTGTTGTAGATTCTAAAACAGAAATGGTTTTTTCTCCTTAAATTTTTGAAAGCCAACTGTGGTTGCACTTGGCAAGTGTATCTTACATTTAGATGTCATTAATATTAATAAAGTAGTCTAACTTAGCAGAAGAAAGAGTCCATGCTTTAGACAAATCACAGTGGGCATATGATCATGTACTCGATGATAAAGTATCTTTCATTTTGTTTTTCCCTTTTCAAATATTTGCTAACTGAAACTTTTTAATTCCAATTTGAAAAGTTTTGTTTGTTTTTTTAATTAACCGATGGATTTATTCAGTAGATATACAGTTATATATTCTCGTTTCACTGATATTTTTACTAGTATCAAGGACAAAAGAAAAAATATTCCTGAAAAAATTGTCTATGCCTGCCTCTAGTAATACCAGTTTCTAGAAATAGAGGCCTCAGAAGCAGTAGTTATTAATAAAATAGTTAACAGAGTTAGGGTTATCTGTTTTCTGGGGTTACTTTATTCTTACTATCCTTACATTTGTTTAACTGTCATGTAAGAACCTTTTAATCTAGGAATGGTGGCTCATACCTGTAATGCCCTCAGGAGAATGAGGAAGGAGGATCACGAGGTAAAGACTGCTCTTGAGTTGCACTGCAGCCAGGGACAGGAAAAAAACAGGGACAGGAAGATTGGTCTTTCTGAGAAGATGCAAGTAGGAAGTTAAGACTAAGGGCAGTTTCTGGTTCTTCATAAAACATAAATCTTTGGGGAGAAAGAAAAGTGTGCCATGTTTTGTTCCTTTAGTCCCTCTTCCTATCTGACATACATTTCTTTAGGAAATGATAAGGAACTCAAAGATGGCCCCTTCTTAATAGTACCTAAAAGGAACATGTAAACAAACCTGAGATGAGGCCCTGCATCTTGAAAACAACTGGCTCATCAAGTCCTGGAACAAATACATTTTATGTTGTTCAGCATAACCCACTCCTTGACAGATAGATTCATGTCCTTGAAAACATCTGTAAATAGAGTTGGTGCTCTAGACATGATCCCCAATGCTGTTCCCCAAGATTTCTTTTTTAAATGAGGTTCAAATGAAGAGACTTTACATATGAATAAAAACATGTCAAGTTAAGTGATGTTCACTGAGTTTATATTAATTCAGATTAAAACTCTGTCTGGCAAGTCTAGCTTTGTAGAGAAAAGTCTCATATTTTCTCATTTCTCTTCCATAAGGCAAGGTCTTATATAAGAAAATATGTTTAGGGTAAAGTGTTTTAGTTCAGTGCTTTACTGACACATTTACTGACACCTGCCCAAACAAAGGAGATACAAGAGCTGTTGGTAACACAGTCTGCTTTTATTTCTCTGTCCAGTTGATGTCCTTTTACCTGTAAGATGTGAGACAATATGATATTAATTGACTAATATTGTTGGCTAATCCACAAGGATTTTTCTTGGAAGGAGTTGTAGAAAAGTTAGAGTGGAACAAAGAGTGGCTGAATTCTGAATTGAAATTAAATATATTTTTATGTGTTTCTGAAGTTTTAAAAGAATCATCTAAAGTAATTTTTAGTCAGCTTATGCTTGAATGATACATAGAATTATTTGGATTCTTCTAGTTAAAATATTGTATTTTCTCTAGAGAAACAGTAGGAATTTAATAATGCTGGCTTAGTTTTCATGGAATACTAAGAAAAATTGATTTCAATCTTAGCTATGTTGTTTATATTTTATTAAACCTTATTAATTATAGAGGTACTTTTTCAGTAAAAATTAGGTGATGGGCTGGAGAAATGGCTCATCAGAGTTACTGGTGGTTCTTTCAGAAGACACAGGTTCAATACCCAGGCACCCACGTGACATCTCGCAACCATTTGCAACTCCAGTCCCAGGGGAGTCCCCAACAGCTGGCTTTCTTATGCACTGTTTGAAGTGCACAGACATACATGTAGGCAAAACACTAACACATAAAATAAAAATAAATGAGACATTTAAAATAATCAGTTGATGAGTATCATATTTCAGTGGGTTAAAGGGAAGTCAGCCTACTCTAACGTTAAGACCCCTGACCAACGCAAGCATGCTGGTGCCTGTGACCTAGCACTCTAGCTGAGGAAGGAGCTCAGTGTAAGCTCTCCAGGGGCTACACAAGAAACAAACAGGCATGATGACCACTGCCTTTTCTCATCTGAGGTGATATGCCAAACTGCCTTTAAATTAAGCTGTGATTTAACTAGGAGACTTATTTATTCATTGATTTCATGTCTTAACATTAAATTTTGAACGATCTGTTCACTCAATAAGAACATTCTTGTCTTCAAAAAGCCAGTTATTGTACCAATGATAGAACTTTTTAGTGAAAGGATCCCAATTTTAATACATATAAGTGTGTTTAAGTGAATTTTATGTAAAGATACACAATTATATTCAGAGATAATCGGCTTTTCAGATTACATTTTTTCAAGAACTGGTTTTAAAGTAAAATAATAGAAAACAAACAGGCAGTTATTAACACACAGGTAATAAATAAATGGCCCTTCTGGTTATCAAAGTTTCAAGCTCCTGTTAGCTTGATAACCAGTTTGGATGAGAAGCATAGCTGTCTCTATGCTGTGGACTAAAGCCAGAGTTATACATTGAAGCCTTTGAAGGAAGAAAGGAATCTCAGATGGTTCCTGGAGTTTCTTTACAATATGTGCTTGAATCACGGTGTGTTTGACATGGATTCAGGTTGTGAAAGGAGCTAGGTCTGAAGCAGCCAAGCCCTGTAAGTGAATGGCAACATTGTGTTAATTCCTCTGCTCACATTTTATTTTGCCAGCCCGGGATGTTGTTTCCTGGAATTGGTGCTACCCTGCATCTTGTTTGATTTAGGTTTTCTACACCTTTTTTTTTTTTTTTTTTCTGTTGAAACAGTATATCATATAAGTAACCATGAGCCTCTGACTTTTATATTGTTGAATGTGAAGCCTGTCTTAACCGTTAAAGAGTGAAACAAAGGTATAAAGAGTGGATGATGGGATTGTGGCAGCTGTTCCTAGCTGCCCTTGAGAAGCACTGGTGCTGGGCCTTGAAACCACGCCTACTAGGTCACAGGGACTGGTCTCTTGCTGTTCCTGTTTTGTGTGTCACTCCAGGGTTGCTGTGTGAGAAGGAAATGATGTAATCTAGTTAGTAAATATTGACAGATAGTAAAAACTCACCTGTTAGATGATGTGTACAGCACTGTAAATGTTAACCCATTAAATCACATGTATGTCTTTAGGTTTTGTAAATGAAAATAAAAACTTACAAACTATTGAAGGGAACTTGCTAAAGCTTAAAATATGTAACTAGAGACAATGTAGACCAAGGGCTGGAAAACTGCTGGGTACCTCTTGGTTTTATTTAAAATGAAAGAAAACCACCTCAGTCATTTATGGCTACTTTTACATTATAATGAGACTATATGGCCTACACAGCCCAAAATATTTGTTACCTAACTATCTTATAAACTCTATAAGCGTTATTGACCTGTAGAAGACTGGTGGGATTATTTTGATACCCTAGGTGCCTATTGAACTTAAGTGATGGGCCATGATTTTCATAAGGTACACATATGAAGTTCCTAGAACATTTAAAAATTGTCACACTGCTGACTACAGTGGTACACATCTGTAATCCCAGTACCAGGGGAGGCAGAGGCAGGCAGATCTTTGTGAGTTCAAGGCCAGCCTGGTCTACAATGTGAGTCCAGGACAGCCAAGGCTATACAGAGAAACCATGTGTTGAAAAACGGAGAGAGAACTTTTAAAAACTATTTTATTTGGGTTTTGTATGTCTCTTCCTCCCTTTACTACCCCAATCCTTTCCAATACCCCAACTCCAGGTAGAGAAAGGTTAGTGGGGAGAAGTGCCGTAGTTTTCCTTAACTACTTCCTGCTGGTTAGGGTCCTCAGATTCCTTGGGGCTAGTCCAATCTTCAGGACATCTCCTGTATCCCACACCTGAGATTAAAAGAGAACATGTTTACATCTCATAAACTGAAACTTCCACAACAGATGTAGATAGATAGATGGATGGATGGATGCATGGATCGATGGATGGATGACGGATAGAGAGAGAAAGAGAGAGAGAGAGAGATATTGTCACACCAAGTAACTTAACATTGGGAATTGAATTTGGAAAGAACTACAAAATTTATTAAAAGCTCCAAAATAACATCTTTGCTGGTGCTTGCTGACCAAAAAGACTTAGTAGATTGCTTCTGAATGTGCTAGTGATGGCCCTACAGACCACTGAGGTTCCAACTTGGAATTGAATACAGTTTCCACATTGTCTAGTTCTGAGTGTTTAGTGGCCTAAACATACCCACTGTTTGGTTAAACTTTCTTTTTATACCTGATTATATTTTGGAAATAATACTGTGGCAGTGATGAGGTAAAGTGTTTGAGAAGTAGGTTTTATGCCTCCTTTACTTAAGGGACTGAGATTACTTAAGGTAATTGATTTTAGAAAAGGTGTAGCTGTGTACTGAGGAACAGTAGGTAGAAAAATGTTTTCTATGATTACATAATAATCATGTAAAAATACTGGGATCCTGTGTGTGTGTTTGTTGGGCGTGTGTGTCGGGTGTGTTCACTCACGTAGTTATCTGTAGAGGCCAGAGCTTGACATCTGAAGGTCCTCCTCAATTATCCCTCCCTTGTTCTTTTTGAGATAGTGTGTCATTCAACCTGGAGCTCACTGGGATCCTCCTGTCTCTCCCTGAGGGCTGGGGTGCGTGTCCAGCTTTTACATGGGTGCTGGGGATCTAACTGTAGATCCTCATGCTTGTGCAGCAAGAACTGAACCTACGGAGTCCCTGCCATCAGGGACTGCCGTAGGTTGACGCCGTATTAAACCTGCCTGGATGTGATTCTAGCGTTAGGAATGTGTCCTTGGGTCTGCTTGGTATCCCAGACTGACCTCAAACTTAATACTTCTTTCTCAGCTTCCTGAGTGCCAGCATTATAGACAGGTGTGTACCTTCACATGTAGCCTTTCCTGCTTGAGGGAATCAGATCAGGGCTGTCATACTTTGAACAGTGCAGTTGTATTCCTTTCAGACTCTTGTAAAGAAGGTTAGTAATAGCCATCTTTAGGGTGAATTGCTTGTGTGGAAAACTAGGTTAATACTGACTGGCTTTATTTTTTTGTTCTCTAAAACATGTAGGCATTTCAGTAGAACAATGGAAGAGCTTGTTCACGATCTTGTCTCTGCACTGGAGGAGAGCTCTGAGCAAGCTCGAGGTGGATTTGCTGAAACGGGAGAACATTCTCGCAATCTGTCCTGCCCACTGAAACGCCAGGCCAGGAAAAGGAGAGGGAGGAAGCGGAGATCCTACAATGTTCACCACTCATGGGAGAGTGGCCACTGCTTAAGTGAAGGCTCTGATTCCAGTTTAGAAGAGCCAAGTAAGGACTATAGAGAGATCCACAACAACAATAAGAAAGACCACAGTGACTCTGATGACCAAATGTTAGTGGCCAAGCGTCGGCCATCTTCAAACTTGAACAACAGTGTCCGAGGTAAACGACTTCTGTGGCATGAGTCTGATTTCGCTGTGGACAACCTTGGGAACAGAACTCTCCGCCGGAGGAGGAAGGTAAAGCGCATGGCCGTGGACCTCCCGCAGGACATCTCCAGCAAAAGGACCATGACCCAGCTTCCTGAAGGCTGCAGAGATCAGGACATGGACAACGATAGGGCTAACCAGTATTCAGAGTTTACCCGGAGTAAAGTTAAGAAAAGGAAGTTGAAAGTGATTAGACAAGGACCAAAAACCCAAGAGGAAGGAGTAGTGTTGGAAAGTGAAGAAGTAAGCCAGAGCAATAAAGACAAAATGGAGTATGAAGAACAAAAAGTCTCCGATGAGCTCATGAGCGAAAGGTGACTTTTCCATCCTCTGCCAAGGAGCTTGTTTGTCTGCATGCTTGGGGCTGAATGTGTTTTATATTTTAATTAATTTTGTTTTAAGATAATTATAAATTACCAAAATGATAGTGATATTACTTTGTAACTAGGTTTGTATTTCTTTTATAATTTATAGAATTTTCACACAAGCAAAATTGCTTATTTGATTTATGCAAAGTGTTGGTTGTGTTATAATTGTCTTCCTTTTTAGGGTGCATAGTCATTATTCTAATTCCTGATGTTCAGAGTTCACACTCTGTGATGTGTGCGGATTGGTGTGTTGATCGTCTAGCTTGCCAGGAAATTCTGATCACTTAGGGAAATACAAAGATCTGATTGATGGTGTGGAAGCAGCTGATTTCCTCCTTAGAAAAATGGAAATTGTGGTATTCCTTTGTAAGTTGGACTGTCTGTCCATCACAGACAGCAGGCCACCTCTGTTTTAATTGTCACATGATCTTTTCATGTCTGAGGGTAGTGAGCCTTGCCATTTATCCAGCTGCTGCTGCTTGTACGCAGTCAGTGCCGCTGCGTGCTCAGCACACGTCCTTATAGTAAAATAGTTCTGGGGAAAGGATCTGACTTTTAACTTGTAGCATTGGCCTCATTTAACCTGGTGATTGTAGGCTGTGTGTGTGTGTGTGTGTGTGTGTGTGTGTGTGTGTATGTGTGTATGTGTATGTGTATTTGTGTTTATAAGTGTGACTATACTTAGGATGAGAACCTGGTCAGAGTTAATAGCATATTTTTGTTAGACAGTTTACTCACATAGTTTTTCCTTTTAAAAGTAAAGCGAAAGTAAAGAGGTTTTAGAGGTTTTGAAAGTTTGTTTCTTAGAAGAAAGTTATTATCTTTATATAGAAACAGGGTTGTGACTAAGGACTACTCAGCCAAAAGCAGTGAGCTCAGTTGCTCCCTGCTAGGGGTGTGTGGCCATGATGTAACAGTGCAAGCTCTGGGCCATTCACAGATCACCTGCTTTTCTGGTTGGTTTAGAAGCCCCTCCTTTTAGTTTTCTAAGCCTACTTTTTATTGATCTACTTCTTGCTCTTTTCACCCTGGAACTGTGAGGCAAAATTTATTTCTCCTCATTGTTCAATAGAAAATCAGTATCAAGTGCTATATCAGTTTTCCCAGTTGTTCTTATCTCAGGTACATAGTTTAGATGTGATATTTTAAATCAAATAAAATTAACTATATTTCCCCTGAATTTTAAACTTTTCTCTATACCATTTTTTTTATTGCCATTTAAGGGTTCAGTGTGATTTCTTCTGTGGAAAGATTGCTACATGGTTAAGGTAGCTTCTGTTTCCAAAGTCTTTCATTTTTAAGAAGGTTTATATTTTCTTGGATTTGATTTATAATTAAGGGACTGGAGAGATGGCTCAGAGGTTAAGAGCACACTGGCTGTTCTTCCAAAGGTCCTGAGTTAATTCCCAGCAACCACATGGTGGCTCATAACCATCTATAGTGAGATCTGGTGCCCTTTTCTGGCCTTGCAGGCAGAATACTGACTCACTGACTGAATGCATGAATGAATGAACCTTAAAAAAAAGAAAGCTGTGTGTGCGCGTGCATGTATGCGCATGACAAACATTTGATTAACTACTACACTGTGCAGTGATGGCTGTGAGACTAATAACACAGACTCTCACGCTCCTGGGCGAGGTTAGGCATACATGCAAATACTGAGAATGGAATGTTCTATATGAGTAACGGCTTCTCACAGAGCTGTATTTCAAAACTAGAGCTCAGACTCCTTCAGGAAAGGGAGGAGCGGAAGTCAGCAAGGAAATGGCATGATTATCAAATCAGGGTAGGGTGAAGTGTCTGCAGCTCATTGCTGCAAGGATATAAAGAGGCCGAGGCCACCGCAGCAACGTTTCTTGAAGGCCTGTATGTGTTGTGGTAGCTCGTATTCTATCACATAGGCAATGAGGATTTTTGGCGGTGAAGAAACTTGGCACAACATAATCTTGGCAGTGGTGTTATTTCCTTTGACTGACCTCAGTCCACACGGTAGAGGGTAATGGATATGTGTTGTGGTAGGAAAATAAATTCTGGAGTAGAGAGCAGCAGGGAGTACTGGGAAGGTAGTGCTTTCAGATGAAGCCTGATTTTTATTCATAGAAAAAACAAAAATTGAACCAAATGAAAGAAAGGACTAACATTAATGTGTGTGCCTTTACTCATGAATATATTCTTGACCCAGCGATAGTTACAAGAGTCATTTCCAAAAAGAGAAGAGGTACTGCATCTTGCAGCTGAATTGTGATGGCCATTAGCTTTGGGGAATGAAAAGGTGTACCTGGCTATACGTATATTAGGTCAGAAGATGGTAGATCTGAACCTAGAAGACTACGACAGCAAAAAAAAAAAAAAAAAGAAATGGTGAATTGCCTCATTATTTGCAGGCTGTGAAATGCTTGCTCACTGCAGTCAGTTAACCTGGCTTGTATTCAGAAAGCATTGGTCGGATTGAAGAATATGGCTGATCTGATTGTAAAGTGTTACACTGGACTTCCCAGGGGCACTATATAGAGAGTATGCCTTTGTGGAATCTGAGGGGTTTTGAATTGGAAATACATTTTTTTTTCCTCTTGGCCGGGGGGAAGGGCGGTTCAGAAGACGAATTGTCCTGAGGTATGTTGGCCTGGGCTGTAAGGAAACCATGAAAAGCACTAATGTCGTTTGGACCCCTCCTAATAGCATGGAGGTCAGACTTCTCAGGTGTTCGTCATTTTCATCCAAGCCTGTCTGTCTTTGGAAATAGGATGGCATGGCTGCAGTGCCTTAGAAATAGTATTTTCTATTTTTGTATAGGAAATTTCAGACAGTCAATTTGAAGAATGTTGAAAAAAGAAGTCGTAATTAGAGCTTTTAGGAAAAAATATCTTGACAAATTCTTAGACCTTTCAAAAGTTTATTTTTGAAAAAAAGCAAATAAAATGTGGTATTTTCTATGCAAAAAGTATGTGGATTTAGGTACTAGCAATGATTCTCATCACAAAAAGCTTATAATATTTTAAAATAGGCTAATGTGCCTGATTTTTAATAAGCTAGGCTATATTGTTTTATATAGTAATAGACTGAATATATTTTACTTTGGGCTGGAGAGTAAAGGCACTTGCACCAAGCCTGATGCCCTGTGTTTGATTTTCAGAACTCACATGATGGAAGCAGAAAACTGACTCCCATAAGTTGTCCTCTGACCTCCATATACATATCTTAATGTCTTTATATATACGGATGCACCCACACACGCACGCACGGACACACACAGACACACAGGCATCTACATACGCAGACAGGTAACACATACACAAACCCTTTTTATTTTAAGGCTATTTTGTTTTGTTCTGTTTTGTTTTGTTCTTTCAAGACAGGTTTTCTCTGTGTAACAGGTCCTGGCTATCCTGGACTTACTTTGTAGACCAGGCTGGCCCTGAACTCACAGAGATCCTCTTTCCTCTGCCTCCTGAGTGCTGGGGTTAAAGGCATGAACCACCATTTTAGTTTTAAAAAAATCAGTGACAATTTCATGGTTGGTTAAAATCAAGAATTAAGAGTAAATTCATAAGAGGCTTTTAAAGAGTGACATTCAGTTTCCTAGATACTAAGCTTTTCATGATTGCTCTTTTATTCTTCATATTGCTCACACACATACAACTTCCACTGTACTGCTACTAACGGTTTAGGTGTTTTTGAATATTTGTTATTTATTTGTTATTTATTTCCATATTAAATTTGAACCTGTATCTTATTCTCCAGTTTATGCAGAAGAAGCCTTCTCTCTCTCTCTCTTTTTTTTTTTTTTTTGGTTGTTGTTTTTCAGACAAGGTTTTCCTGTCTTGGCTGTCCTAGATTCCATTTGTACACCAGGCTGACTTTGAACTCACAATGATCTGCCTGCCTCTGTTTCCCTGAGTGCTTGGATTATAGGTGTGCCACCGTGTGAGAGCCCATCTTAATGGCTAACACACACATTGTTGCTTGACTTTGCAGTGATGGGTAGCCACCATCATAAACTCTTTTCTCATTGTAAGCTTTTAGAGCGGCTTTTCTAGACTATTTACAGATGTGCTGTGGAAGTCATTTCAGCCAGGCCTTTGTGTTTCTGATGAAGGAAATTCAGCCTGCTTCTGACTGGGACTTTGCTGTCCCAGTGAGCACTGCTGTTTCAGGCTCACGCTTAATTGGACAACACAGCGTAAGAAAGGAGCAATGAGCATCCTGATGAAAGTAGATAATAGAGTGCATCCACATGTCAGCACCTTGCAGTCACTTCTGGCGAACTGTCCAGGTACCACTAGATTCCTGGAGATTTATGTGCAAAATAATATATTCTGTGGTTAATAGAACTGGGATATTTGCAGTTTGATTTGATTTGCAGTAAGATTTTTTTTTCCATGTCTTTGTCAGGTTAGAGTTCCATATCTGAGCAGCCATGTCTTTTTAAAATTTCACAACGGAGGAATCAGTTGTTCTTTTGATCTGTTGCATTTTTCTTTCCCTTGTCACAGTGACTCCAGCAGTCTGAGCAGTACTGATGCCGGCCTGTTCACCAATGATGAGGGACGACAAGGTACTGAGACACTGTTCCCCTCTTTAAGCAAAGTCCTTTTAAACCTGTGCTGTTACTGGTTATTTTATAAGCTGCCAGCAGGAACTCTTTGACACTGCAGATGCTATTTCACGACTGGTGTTTGTACTGTGGCTGGTTTCTGCACTCTTGGGAATGTCTTGGCTTCCTGACCCGGCACAGATTACATCTAAAAAGTAGCATGTGCTGTTAATTAAGCTTTGCACACTTACTCTTTGCAATTTGATACCTTCTAGCAAGATTGACAGATGTTGATCCTTATTCTTCTCCTTATTCTAAATGTTTGTAAAACTTCAAGCATTCAAAGAGTGGATTTGCAATGATTTTTATTTTCATTCATTTGTCACACTTATACTATCCCACTGATGTAATTAAATGGTCTCTATTAATTCAATATTATAAGCTATTAATCAGAACTATCTTACATCTTAGGTCTTTTCTATCCTGCAGAATTGCGGAGTCTTCACACTTCAACATGGAAGTACTTTTTGAAGCTGTGAATGATTTAAACCCTACTAACTCATGAGTCACCCTTACTTGGGGTTATGTCATTTGGTCATGTCAGCCTGGTTTTCTTTTATTCATTGTACAAATCATAAAGTTGAGCTAACCCTATTTGTGCTTATTGCAGAGGTATCTTTTTTTCTTAGGGACAGGAATGGCAGGCTGTGCCTTTAATCCTAGCATTTAGAGGTGAGGCAGGCAAATGGTCTCTATGAGTTCTAGACCACCCAGGGTTACTTAGTGAGACCCTGTCTCAAAAACCAAAGCAACCCAACAATGCAAAGACCGCATTAGCACAAAGTATGTTCTGTAGAACAGGACAATTAAATTACAAATCACGCAGTGGCTTTGTGGGAAAACAACCACAGTAATGTTGCCCATGCTTTCTCTCAAACCTCCCTGGTAAGGAAAGCAGATGTGACAGCCATTCTTTCACTTACAAGTATATGACTGTTTGCAAAGCCATATCCTTATGAAACTGAGGCTTTGTCTGGGATGTAATAAACTTTTCTTAAAATATGGATCTTACCCAGGTTATGCATGTTGGTAATATGATCAAGTACAATGCTAAATTTTCATGAAAAGGAACTTGCTAAGCCTGACACTCTTTAGAAGGCACTGGTTTGAGTAGAGATAGCAACAGTTTTTATGAGTTTATTGTGTCTCACATTGCTAAGGGATTTCATAGCATTTAATTTACTTTTTTCTCACTTCATTTCATTCATTAAGAACTGCAGGAATTCCCAATTTTAATTTTTTTAAGTGAGGAAACTAATACAGCTGAAGTGACTTTCTCAGTGTTATAGTACAATGTATTTTTAATTCACCTATCTGATTCCTTGCCTAAACTTTTAATGACTATTTAACTTACTTTTTAAGAATAATGTTGCATAATCATATACAAGCGATGTCAAACAACTTCCATTTTTCTAGAGTAGCTTTTTGATTGCTTTTGTTTTTGAGACAGGTTTTATGTTTACATAGTGCAAACTGGCCTTACGTATTGGAACTGTGCCTCCACCTTCCAGGGAAAGTGGTGGGATTAGGCATGCATCAGTCCCTGGCACAGCATCGTATAATGGCAATTCAGATGGAAGTTAGGAAGTATCAAGAGAGCCCTGCTTACAGTCAGTAAACCTGTTAGACGATTTGATTTACCTCTTATGAAATGTTAATATTTATATTTTGTAACTAGTATTTTTAACAAAATATTTTTATTAGTTTCCTAATTCAGTCTTGTGATTCCCATTTTATAATTGCTTTTAACTTTCACTGTGTATTTGAACTAAATCAGTTTCTCAGCTTAAATTTAGGCTTTTTTTTTTAAACATTGCTTTTACTTCATGTTTGTGGTTTTCTATTTAAAAATTTTTTAGTAAGGTAGTAAGAAGTATCAAAATTAGAAGTCTCTTAAAAGCAAAAATAATCATTCACGTATGAAAACCCCTTGCAAACAAACTATCAGTACTGGTAGCTCCTGGGGGTCTTAGGAAGAGGTAAACTCTCACTTGCCTCTTATTTTATAAGTTGTCTACATTCTATACTTTAATCATTTTTATATGTTTAAGTCTCTTTGTAGTTCTTAATAATTCCTTAAGAGAAGGACAGAATGAATGTTGGCACTCACTGAGGTTAAGTGGACTTAATGATTATTTCTAATACCCTGGTTACACCAAGGCATCCCCATGTCAGCATTAGTGAGTAATTTTTATTTTGTAAATGTCTATTTCTGTGATAAAGCTGAGGCTTTGGGGGGATGTTTTTGTGTCTGCACAGGTGATGATGAGCAGAGTGACTGGTTCTACGAAAAGGAGTCAGGAGGAGCCTGTGGTATTGCTGGAGTCGTGCCGTGGTGGGAAAAGGAAGATCCTGCAGACCTCGACAAAGACTTACCTGACCCAGTGTTTGAAAGTATCCTGAGTGGCTCCTTCCCGCTCATGTCACAGCCTGGCAGAAGAGGTCAGTAGTGCTCCCTGCATTCTGGCTCCACTAGCTTTCGGTTCCTGCTGGAATAGTTACTGAAACAAACTATTCCACCAAAGTGGAAACAACATAAACACAGAGTGCTGTAGAGAAATGTGCTGGACCCTAATCCAAGTACTGCCTTCAGCCAGTTCACACATTCAGAGTGCTGGCTCCCTCACTGCGCTCATCTGGACAGTGTTAGCAGGAGTGTGGATTGGGAGAAAGAGTTCTGAGGTGTGAGTATGAGTTGGGAGAAAGAGTTCTGAGGTGTGAATATGAGTTAGTTGAGTCAGAGTGGTAGAGCCCTGCTGGGAATTACTCAGTTCCTTTAGGTGTGACTTTCACATTGTCTCCAATAATATTCTTGGTATTCATCACTATCAGCAACTTAGTTTTAATTATTTGTTGATAGGACCTTCCTCTATGCTCCAGTGATCACAGTATCAACTAACTTGACTGTTTGATTCCTCAGGTTTCCAAGCTAGACTCAGTTGCCTTCATGGAATGCCTTCAAAGAATATTAAAAAATCTGGAGGGTCTCCGCCTTCAATGGTAGGCATGCTGCATGCTTTTTTATTGACTTGCCATGTTTGGAAATATTTCCATTTTTGTGGAATAAAAAGCCACATCCTCATCCTTTATTTATATTGTAATGTTATACTTAAAAATAATCCATTTTTTTGTAGGCTACAAACTGGACCAGTGAGATTCCCCTATAAGCCAAATCTTCTAATGCTAATAAATTAGTTACGTTTTGAACAACTGGGGAATGGCATTCGAGGGAACCTGGCTCCTGTCCTCTTCCCCGGAGGAATACACTGAAGTGCGAGCCTCTTTGATGCAGACCTGGGGCTGTTTTTGCTGCAGGACTGGTGTTCTTTCTTTTAGCCAGAAGTGAATCTGACTGGGGAGGCTTCCCTGAGATGTAGGTTGGTCCAGGGTAGATGCAAACTACTGTATATTTTATCTACTTTTTCTTTTATGGTTTTTAACATTGGATCTATTTCTGTATTGTTTGCTTTGCCAAATGCTAACAAAAGATAGAAAGTTGAAAACAATATTTGAACCAAGTATAATTGGTTAAGATTCAGTTTTAATATCCAACTGTTGTAAATAAAAAATTATGTGTTGCCATATATGATTCATTTTTAAAGAAGTCTTTTATACCAGCATTATTTAAAACAATTGTGCTCTACTCAGGGTATTTTAATAAGGCCTGATGTAAGTAATAGGTGAGGTTGATAATCTTTGCTCAAGTTTATCTTTTGTTCAATTTACTTGGTCCTTGGATAACTGTTCTGTATTTTAATCCTGTTGTTGTAGTTTATGTTATACTACAAGAGTCATCTACCTCTAGAACAGCACGGTGAGGACAATATAGTCTGCAAACTGCTGTCACAGCTTCAGTGGTGTGTGTCTGACTCTAGTCACAGCTGCCTCACTGGCTTGGAGTTTGATGAGATCATGTGAAACGTGTGTTTTAACAATACTACATGACCGACTCTGTCGTATCTAAAGCTAGATGCTTGTTCATCCTTAGGATGGCAGACCATGTGTGCCATTGAGTTTTACAAATACTTGCTTAAGCTCATTTTCACCGAGCAGGGAGGAAATAAAATATTTCCAATGGTGGTATAATTCTTACATTTTACCGGTTCAAGCCATTTGTGTTCATGAAAATGGCTTTTTTTAAATGATTAATATTTTCTCAAATTCCTACAAGTGATAAAGTCTTTGTGGTTTAATGTTTTCATATTGTATGGTTTTGTTGTAACGGCATTCATTTAATGGCTAAATTAAATATGATTGGAAAGGAAACTTAAAGATGACATTACTTTTACCTAAGATTATTGTGGTGTGAAAGCTTTAAGAATGAAGTAACCAGGAATGTAAGACAGCATCTCTGGAGAGATCGAAGATGACACAGTGCAAGGTGCGCCCTCTGACCTTCCCACTTTTAAAGTGCAATGATATTCTTAGTGATTGTAGTGAGGATTTTATACTGTGTCTCAGAGCAACAGTCTGTGTTTTTTCTGAATTACAGAAATGCTTTTGTGTTGTGTAGTCACTGTTCTTTAGGTCTGTATAAGTCCCTGTAACCCAGCCTGTGAACTTTGCCTCAGCAGTCTTGAGTCTGGACGAGTGCTATCTCATTCTTGGCTCAGTTTTACCTATTTTTATTTTTGGCCCACTGCTTGCTTGAGCATAGCTGGGATTTGTACCCCATTTTCTAGGCTTATTGCAATCTCACTGTGGTACTTTATAGAAGCTATTACACTGATAGGCTAGCTTCATGCTGTTGATGACATATGGCTTCACCATACTGAAAGCCACCTTCCCTGTCTTAAGTTGTAACTAGATGATTAGACCTCACTTCATGGAGATATTCTGTATGTGTGTTTAACATGAAACGAGTGTGTTAGGCCATGATGTATTCTCCTGCTCAAAATTTTACTGCAAATACTCCTTAAGGTTTTCTTTCTCAACCCTGAATTGTCCTTGTTTAAATTCTTACTATATATTTTCCCCCACTGACATCTCTGACTTGGGCAAGACAGGTAAGATTTTCAGTTTCTGCTGATATTTTTTCAGTTCTCTCTGGTTTTGCACATAATATACATAGCTTTCTACCTTAAACACTTTTAACCTGCTAAGGCAGTCATCATTAAGGGGTATCAGTTATTTCTTGTAATAAGAAATTAAATTCAGTTAGTGTAGATTCACACTGGACGCCAAAGTGTATTTAAGAAAGATTAATGTTATGGGCAGATTCCAACCTGTATAGCTCCAACCCATTAAGCAGAATGGCAGCAGAGGGTCTTAAGTGGGTAAAGTGATTCCTGCACACATACAGTGATGAAGTGCATTTGGAGGAAATGGCAGCGGGAAACTAGCTAAAGTATGGGACGTTCTCAGTTGATTGTTCTTATTCCATATAGGCTTATTCAGTGAAGTCATTGTTCTTCCTTAAGGAATAGGAAACCATTGCTCTTACAGCGAAGTCAGGTTTAGGTTCCTGTGGGTCTTGGGTCCCCATGTTCTCATCAGCTGCTGCTATATAATGTTACATGTGTATTTATGTTTAAAGGCATTTGCTGTGTATTGCTGATTCATGATCATGGAACTTGTGAATAACAGCCTGAATTTGGGGCCACCATTGAAAGCAGTAAAATAACCAGAAAAAGCACAGAAATATCAATTAGCTAGTACTTAGTAGCTCATACAAAGGACACTTGTTTACAGAATGAGAACTGCAGTAAGGAGGCCGGGTCCTTGTTCCTTTTCAGATGAGAGTGCTCATTTGTGAGGGAGCTCAGATTTTTCAGTGTTGTGTACACACCCATGAATTATCTGTAAAGATTCTGAGTATTGGCTTTCAGGTTACAAATAAATTGTAGCTGGTTGAATCTGCAAGGAGGAACAAGAAAACAGTGGTATTGTAGATCACTGGTTCTCAACCTGGGAGTCTTGACCCCCACAGGGGCTGCATAGCAGATATCCTGCATATCAAACATTTACATTATGATTCATAACAGTAGCAAAATTACAGTTATGAAGTAGCAAAGAAATAATTTAGTGGTTGGGGGTCACCGCAACACAAGGAACTGTACTAAAGAGTCACAGCATTAGGAAGGTTGAGAGCCACTGTTGTAGAGTGTTAGAGACCTTGAAGTCATGTGTTTTTGACTTCACGGTGGGTCTCAGTATTACTTGGACAATGTTTACTTTATAGAAATGTTATCAGGCTTAAATGAGGTAAACGTAATAGGCTAGATCCATCTTTGGCACATAGTATATGATAATAAGTAATAATTGCTGCTGTTGCTGCAGTTAATAAACATATTAGCCAGTATTGCAACTTACGTTTTTATCATGAATCTAAGTGTAGAATTTGACTTTAAACTTTTTGATTCATAATTTATATATAATTTGATATTACCTTAATAGAGTTTTTTTTTATTAGACCTTTAGGTTTCTTTTGTATCTTATTTATGTTTGATCTGACTTCTTTAATATAGTCTGAAGAATTTTTCTGAATGAATTTTTGGTTATCAAGTACTCAAAATTGAACTGCAAGATATACAGCCATTTCTTTTAAGTCCCCTCCCTCCAAATCATTTAGACTTTATGAGGTTTGAATTCAGTCTTGTTTTTTTTTTTAAAAAAAAAAAGTGTCCATATATATATGAATACCCACAAATACATATACATATATATATATATTTGAGAGTACATGTCCTGAGAATTTGCTGTTGATGAGAACTACTTGGCTGGGCATGGTGGTACATACTAGTAATACCAGCACTTGAGAGGCAGAGGCCAGAGAATCAGGAGTTAAAAGATCAACCTTGACACTAGCAAACCTGAAGTCAGCCTGTATCATATGAGACCCTGTCTCAGAACAGAGAATCACTACTGTTGTCTGGTTAGAAACTCCAGTTTCTTGGTGCTCTGATAGCCAGCCTTTTACCACCTAATTTTAGGAGAATCGTTAACTTCCATGGAATGTCCTAGGGGCTTCACTAAGACCCTGAATTCCTGATTTTATAGACTTTATTTATTCATTAAGTGCAACTCAGAATGATAACACAGTAATGGAATCAAGTTCAAGGAGGCTATCCTTACAGCATGAATTCAAGTACCATTACTAAAGGGCAGCTTTCCATGTACCCAGGATGGCCTATTCTGTGTGTTTTGTACAGGGTCTAACTGTGTACCCCTGACTGGCATGGAACTCACTATGTAGCCCAGACTGGGTTTGAATTCACAGAAATCTGCCTGCCTCTTCTTAGTGCCGAGACTGAAGGTACATACCAGCACACCTGCTTCAGGACATCCGCTTCTGAGTATTCTAGTGGATCTATGTCTTTTGTCAGTGAGAGCCTTTTAAAGTCTGTTCTGATATTGTCTTGAACTAATGATTCATCTACAGGCTTAATATCCACTAAACTTATTCAAGTTGTGAAGACTGCTGAAAGATTGAGAAAGACATGTTAAAACACAATATTTGAAAATTAGTATTATGTAAGACAAAGTGGCAAGATAGCGGGCTGTGTTTAAAAGTTTTATGGTTGCTTGAAGACCAGTTTTTGTGTGATTATAACATGTAAGATACTGATGGTGTTTGTCAAGAAATGAATCTGATTTAGTTGATTTCTTAGGTCTACATTTTCAAGTTTACGTTGCACAAAGCCTGAATGTTATCCCTTAATATAAAATGTCATGTCACATTCTTCATACTTAGAGTACCTGTGTCACTCAGAGCAGAGGAGGTGTTAGCTGTTCTAGCCCTTGAGGCAGTTCATGCAGAGGCCGCCCGTGAATGACTGTTGTAGGTATTAATTGAATTAATTAATGGATTTATGTTGACAGTGGCAATCTTACTGTAGTGAACTCTTTGTGTCCCGCTCAGTGTTTGTGGTGCAGTTTCTTAAGATTTTAGAGTAGCAACAGTTAGGCTTTTTATAGCCTTTTACTGAGAAGGCCTGTTTTAAATGGAATTGGTTTGAATAGGGATTTTAAATAACCCATTTTCTCAGACTAGTCAAAGA